TGGCGGAAATGATTGGTGTGTCGCTTGATGACACCTCGATGTACTGTCTCGCGTGGAGTTGGTCGGCACAGAAACCCCTTTGCATTACAAAGGACGAATTCATGAGCGGCATGAAGTTTCTCGGCGCACCTGTGAGGAAGGTTGGAGGCAACTGTGCGCCCACGGTGTCGCTGGTGAAAGCACCCAAGCCTGAGTTTGAGCCGTATCTCTGTGCGATTCGCAGTCACATTGATGGGGTGGATGAAGTGCTTCGCAGGGATCCTGATCAGTTCAGACAGTTTTACCGGTTTTTATTTCGCTGGGTGCGATCCCCGGAGACCATGTCGAGGAGTGTAGGTGAATCTGGTATGAACATAGACTCAGCTGTTGAGCTGTGGCGTATGCTCTTTCCCGCGTACAGGGGCTTCCCCCATTTGGAGGAATGGATCACGTTTTGCACGACAAAGGATCTCTTTCGGCGAGAATCTATTAGCAGAGATTTGTGGGAACAGTTTCTCGAATTCACTGCATTAACACGGTATGACACCTATGATGTTAATGATGCATGGCCGAGCGCTGTTGATGACTTTGTTGAATACTTCAAAGGTAAGCAGAAGTTGTGTGACAAGGAGGAATGAGTCTATCCTTTCTGGAGTAATAGTTACTGTTGCTCTTTCTTAGGTGTCCCGTTTTTTTTGGTATGAAGGATTGGAATTCCCAATGATGTCCAAGAGACATCGTTATTACCCTTTAAAGGTGATAAGTGTGGAAGAAAGAAGGAGATTATTAAAAGTAGCAGTGATGGATTGTATTCTGGTAAAACTTTCATTCATTTATCGTGTTGATATCTCGTCATGTGTTTACTTTTGTATTCCACCTTTTTTTTTCTCTGTATTTTTGGTTTCCATCGTTGTGTGTGTATGTGTGAATGTGTTTTTTTTTTTTTCACTCATTCAATGTTGACATTTCTCTAGATTACCATGACCATTGTAAAAGAACAAAAAAAAAAAAGAATGAACTGTTGTGTGAAGATGTTTGCCTTATTGGTATGGCCCGTGTCACTTTTTTTTTTATTATTATTATTTTGGATAAACCACTGTTTTGCTTTACTTTTCCAAATATCTTTTTCTTTTTTTAAAATCTTTTCTCGTTTCTTTTATTCTTTCTGTTATTTATCTATAATCCATTATGATTTATTTGTAACACAGTATGGGAACGGTTTTCTCTTTTATTTCTTTAGTATTGTTGAAGTACTTTTCACCAGACAAGTTAATAGAATGTCTAATGATGATGAAGTTACATCATTGAGTTCTTCATCCTTTTTCTCCCAACCACCGCTGCTCTCGCGTGTAGTTCAGTGTAGTGATGCTAGTGTGATGTCTGCACGTGTTCTGGTGTTGGGGGACGTATGCAGTGGGCGTACATCTGTAGCTTTAGCCGCTGCGAAGGCCGGAACTCGTCTTCATTTAACATCTGATTATCGATCTATTTTCGCAGGAAGTTGTTTAACGTATTTGTATCGTTCTTCTGTGGCAAGACGAAAAGAGTGTTTGTATGTAAGTGTGGTGGATACAGGATCTGTACCACGAAATAGTGGTGTATCCCATCGTTTTTTGCCTTTTTGTGATACTGTTGTGATTACCTTTTCATTAACAGGTATCAAGCAAAATTTTAAAGTTTCAAAAAGTGTTTTTCCTTTTTGGGGAAGTAGTAAAGGTAAGAGTAGTAATAGTACTGGTCTACCTGTTTTTGTACATGATAATGATCGTACACTTCTTCATGATTTACTTTCAATGGTAGGAGCTCATTTTGCCCATAGTGGTGAAGTTCCTAGGATTATTTTAATTGGTACTTTTAAAGATTTATTAACGTATGGGTCACCAGATGATGTTGAGGTACTTCTTAAAGAGTTACGATCTATTTGTAATGATTATTTGAGTTTATTGCAACAGAGATTATTTGTGAGTGCTGTATTCGCTGTGAATGCTTTACAAGGATCTTGTATCTCAGAAAATAGAGGTGGTCCTAATACTCTTTCTGGTATGTGGAGTTTTATTTATGATCTTACTCTAAAGGATATGATGTTACGTCAACCTTTTATTTCTAATTCTTCACAGTCATTCTTTAATGAATTTCGATGGAGAAGTCATTCATCAATGTTTTCACGTTTAATGTATGATTCGTTTTCTCTACCAGATGAAGAAGTAATAGAGAAATTGAAATCTATTCAAGAGAGTAAAGATGGTACAGGTTGTAATAATTCACAAGTTGTTTCTTCAGTTGATCCCCTTCTTGATTGTATCAATATTAAAATTTTTAAACTCATTTTTCGCACAAAAGCAGAACGTAAAATTGTTTTCATTAAACTTAACACGTTATTTAGGCTAATGTATTCTCATGGATTACAACGTAAAAGATATTTGAGGTTAACGTTACAACAATTACATAATATTGGTGAAATTGTTCTATTTCGATATCATCATGAATCTTTAGCATCACAAGATGCTTGTATTTGTATTCATCCTCATTATATTAATCTTGCTCAGGGAACTATATTTTTGTATTCCAGTTACATTACAAATCATTCTGAAAAATATAGAAAACTATTAACAACGGGTATTGATTTGCAAGAATGTTTACGATGTGATCCTCAGAATAATGTTTCACGTGGTATATTTTCACGATCATTATTATTTAAATTAGCTAGTAGTCTTGAAATTGGTCGCTCATCTATTGAGGCAGCTGATATGTTGACAATGTTGCTTATACTTTCAGATACAGCCTTTCTCAGACATTGCCGTAGATTTTCTTTGACAAGTAAAAAGTCCACCTCCGTTTCTTTTTCATCTTCTAATGAAGACATACCTATTGTACATGTGTCATCTTATAATCTTCCTGATCCCTCTACAAGTGTTATTTCATCTGAGAATTCATTAACTATATCGGAAAATCCATCAATGATGCATTCTGCTACTCCAATGGTAAGAGAAGAGGGATCAGTAGAGTATGTTATTCCGAGTTTAATACGTATGAAATGTCCACGAGAAGTAATTCATTGTGTACGTCGTCTTGCTTCTTCCTTTAGTGGGACCAATAGGGAAAAAAATAATTATATTATTTCACGTATATTAGCCATTCGAGCTTGTCCACCAGCTTTCTTTCCAAAGCTTATAATTCGTTTGCATCGATATATTGATATATCTTCTCCTATATTTTCTCAAGCCCTTTGGTTATCTGCTTTAACACCTTCTGGTGAGGCTTCACCCTTCTTGCATATATTTATTTACCATTCATCAAGTGATGAGTGTATAGAAAATTCCGTAGATGAAAGGGAAGACTACAGTGGTGCTGTCTCCTTTCTTGAATTTTATGCCTTTTCTAATGTTGGGTATTTACCTTTATTACTATTTCTTGATGATATTACCCGACATGTGGCATCTTTGGTTCGTCATGAATTTCCTGGTATGTCTACATGGGCAACAAGTGGAGTTAAAGTGAATGAAAAACACTCTGTAGGGGATTCTATGTATACAGGAACTATGAGAGGAATGGAAAAACTCTCTGAGGTGAATACCATGTGGGATTTGGATAATTTTTTACATTCTCTTGATTGGTAGAGAAATGGTGGAATCCTTAAATGATTTTTTTTTTTTTTTTTGCTTTCTTGTTGTTGTGTTTGTTTCCCTTTCTATTTTTTTTTTTTTTTTTTGTTTTGTAGCGTACGGAATGACTAGCTGAGTCTTTAAAGAAAATAATAATAATAATAATAATAATAATAATAATAATAATATATATTGGAGTTTCTTTATTGTACTTGTATACAGTATTCGTGTATATTGTCCTCTCTTTGTCCTATGGTGTTTTCACCGTGTATTATTATTATTATTATTATTATTATTATTGTTATTGTTATTATTATTAAACACATCAAATAGAAAGTCTGCCTTTTTATATTCATGTTGGATGTGTTTCTCTCTATTTTTTTTTCCCCCTTGTTGTTATTATAAATATTTATAATCAAATATATATATATATTTGAAGTATTAGTCTTGCATAGGGTTTCCAATGTCAAAGACCCTACAGGAAACATTCCCCGATCCTGATGAGGCTATTTGTAGTTTTTTTCTGCAAACGACGGATGTTTCTGATAAAACATGGCATAGTATCTCTTTAATAGCCGAATCAGATGATGATACCTTTTGGGTGGTTATTGCTCATCATAAAAATCTTTCACTTGCTTTAAAAAATCTCATTACTGCAGTAGATATCGCCCATAGTTCTGCTTTTAGACGATCACTTCAACTTGCAGATGAGTTTGCCCTTATAACACTCATCGTCCGACTTGTTACCACCACCTCTGTTGTTTTTAAACGTGGTGTGAGTGTACGAGAAGTGGCCGCACGCTTTGGTGATCTCATTCCCGCCTCCTTAATTTTACCAACATCTCTCATGTTATTACGTCATTCCGGTCCTATTGCTTCTGCTACTATTACTTCCTTATTTCTTCTTAATCCTGCGTATTTGTGTGCCATGTCTACTGTAGCCTCATCCTGGTGTGATGCGACATCGCGATTGGCAGTTCGCAGTGTGCGGGAATTATCAAGAGGAAGACATCAACGACTGGCAGGGGATGTGGTGCCGTTGTTTGAACAGGTTTATCGGCATGTCAAACACTTATGGGCTTTATTTCATTCTGCTCCATTTGTGGCGGATTATGTACCACTTTCTCGATTATTACAGAATTTACGGGTAGTAGTTGATTTACTTTCACCAATTCTTCAACATTTTATTTTAACTTGTTCAACTATTAGTAATTGTCGGGATCGTTTTTCCAGGGCGAATTCGGCTATTGTGAATGCTGCTATTAATACCGCATCTATTCTGGTGTTATTTCGAACGTATAATAAAGTTTTAACAAAAGAACGATGTTATTGTGTAGAAGGTATAGTCCATTCTACCTATGAAGCTCTTACTAGCTATATTACACAAAAAGTTAGTGGTCCTCCAGCATTACTTTTGTCTAATAGTAAATTATCTTTGACATTACTTATACATGAACTTTTCCCTCCAAGGATGGATGAGAATGATTTAATGGTAGGGAAAGTTTTACGTAGTTTAACAGAACCCATTCCAGATAGTAAAGACTTCTCAGATGGTTTTTTGGGATCTCGTTCTCGATATTTTGAATTAATTTTAATTGAATTGGTTCATCAGGGATTTCATATAGATAGGCTTTTGGATAAAAAGTTTATTACAGCATTGGAAGCAGAAGAACTTGGAGCATCTGAGCGAAGTATTACATGTGCTATTACTGGTATTATTGAAGAATGTACAAAACAAAGTAATACTACCTCATTATCTAATATGAATGATAATAACAACAAACAAGAAGATATAGTTTCACCTCCTAGATCTTCTGATGTAGAAGGAACTACAAATCCACTTGTAAATATTGTATTGGATGTTATGCCACATTTTAATGTTAAAGGTATTATAGCTGCTTTACAGTATTATAATAATGATGTAGAACATTTTATTCTTGATGCCTCAATGGATAATATTGTTCCACACATTTTAACACAACTCACAGAACCTTCACCCACTGTTGTTAGTTCTAATCAAACAACAACAGAAAAAGTTATATCTGAAACTCCTTTGGCACCTATTCATGCTATTACATCAGCAGATTATGATAAAGATTATGGTGAAGTGGATTTAAATTTATTTATAGGTTCCGATCTCTATGAGGCAATTAACGGTGATGATGATAATGATAATAATGGAGAGAAGACCCTAGGAGAGGATTTATCAAGTGCTCTTGCATATACTACACATCATGTGGAGGATCATCGTAGTGCTGCAGAGATGTTTGAAGTAGATGATACTATGAGAGATAATATTCGCATGTTAATGGAGATGATGTATGATGATGAGTATGATGATGCTCAGGATCTTGCAGAAGTACGTGGTTATGAAGCTAGACGAGGTACAAATAACTCAGACACCTCCTTATCAGACAATGATGATAATAAAGATAATAACGATACTCCTGATGGTGATAATAAGAATAGTGAAGGTACAGAATTATCTAGAGCTCCACATCAAGGGGTTTCACGGGCTCGAACATTATATGATGAGAAGAAATTTCACAAAACAAGGTCTAAACAACGGGAAAAGGATGTGAAATCTGTAAAAGAGGCTCGGGAAAAAACACCAAGTTATACTCAGAAAAAGAAAACAGTACGTAAAAATGCACAAGACAAGATGGCATTCACACGTGCTGTAAAAAAGGGTAAGAGTGACTGGTAGAATAAGAAAGAAAAGAAAAAAAAAAAAGTAAAGGGTTCTACAAACGAAAAGGGTAAACCCTTCCACCCCCTTATGCATTCATTTTTTTTTTCTCTGTTGTGATGTTGTATTGTATTATTATTTTTTGTTTGTGTTTGTGTTTGTGTTTTTTTTCTCTCTTATTCTTATTCGTGTTGTTTCCTTTTTTTTTTTTTTTTTGCTTCTCTTAATTGGGTTAGTTAGGAAATGTTTCAGCGCCTGCGACTTAATGTGCTGAGTTCAACAGCGGCACGTGCTGAAGTTCCGATACTCACATCGAGTGTAGCCTTAACGGAACAAAAGGCGGGTTTACGTAACTTGCATCAATATCCTACAGCTCGACATAAAAGTTTGGTGAAAGACCGTCGTCGCTTTGCAAGAAATTGGTGGTTAACGGCTGGTAATAATTATGAATTGGTACATGAAGTAGGACATGAACGAGAGGCAACGGAATGTCTATCAGAATACAGTCAAGATTCAAATAATGATGTTTATCTTTTTTCCACCAATAAACTCAGTGATCTACCACCACGTGATAGACTTAATGCTATAGTTGGTATGATGCGTTCTCGTTGGAAGGTAAAAGATGGTAATCGTGGTTATGATAAGGCAAAACTACTTCTTCAAGCGTTAGAGTGTTTTAGTGAAATGCGTCTTTCTGGACAAATTAAAAATTTTGATGAACTTTCAGAACCAGATCAAGATACTTTTCTACAATACGTAGAAGGATGTTCGAGATTTGCTCAAGCATGTTCTCATTCTCATCCAAATGCTGTTGGAATTGTTTTGCGAGCGGCTCAAATATGTGAAGAGATACGGTGTACAGAGAAACGTGATGAAATGATTCATGTTGCTGAAGTTGTTGCGAATCGTATGGATCGTGCTTACGCTTTTAATAGACCAAATGATGTTTTAAAACCGAGACCACCGTCCTTATCAGATAATGAAAGTAAATTGTCGTTTAAAAATTTTACGGAGCTTGAGAGACGTTTTAGAGATAAAGCACCTCATGTACTAGAGAAGAGAGAACGACCAGAATTTATTCGCATTCACAGAGATAAAAGACTTTACTTAAATCCTATGAAAGAAGGTAGTAGAGAGTTGGAGATGTTACGAGCTCCTGCACGTCCTGAGGTTGATCTGTCAACACCTACACCACTATAAAGAGGAGTATTCATTAATTTGTTATTGCCTTTTCTTGTTGTTGTTGTTGTTGTTTTTGTTATTATTGGTTATTGCTTTGGTTTTCTTCTTGTTCTTAAGGAAGATGACATGATGGAAGTATATTTGGTTTTTTTTTTTTTTCTTTTTCTTTTTCTTTAAGAAGTCATTTTCTTGTAAATATTTCTGGCTTTTTTCCTTCTTTTTTTTTTCTCTCTGGGTGTTTTTAGGTTTCCACCAAAACAAGGCACGAGGGAAAACCAAGAAGAACAAGAAAAAAGAGTATATTTGATACATTGAGAAAGGGCTCGGTGTATCTCTTTGTATTGGTGTTTGTTTTCTTTGTTGTTGTTTGTTGTTGTTTCTTTTTTAGCCATTCCATCATGTCTCGCTATAATACCGGGATTGAGAATATCCCGTCGTTGTTTGATCTCGCAAGTGCCATGACGGGATTTGTCTCGGACTTTGCGCAGGTGATCCTTGGCTCCACGCAGACATCCTTTAAAGCGGCCTCACTGGAAGAAGATGATATGGGGCAATATGATGCCGCCGCGAGAGGATGGAAGGGAACAGGTGGACTACACTATCGAGTTCCATTATATCCTATTCCTAGTGAACGTCATACACGTGATAAGACACGAAATATTAAAATTCTTATGGATAATTGTCGTCGTCTCTGTGTAGAGGATGAATTACCTTGTACAAAGGAAGAGAAACAGTTTTGGACGGCCTATCGGTTTATGAAGTATCAAATGTATCTTGCCCCAACCTGTATTATTATGCCTCCTGTGTATATATTCTTTCGTATGTTTCAAGATCGTATGCCCCGTCCAATGCGAGGTCGAACCATTCCAATAACACTTTCTCTTGCACTTGCAGAACAATGGGCAGAAGCAACTTATCCAGGACATCAATTACTTTCAACAGCTCTTAAGGCAAAAACACCAATGGGTGATGCGGCAAGGGCAGAGTGGCTTCGTTTACAACCAGTAGACATACCTTTTTATATTTATACAGCCTATCAGTTTCAACATTTTTTTGGTAACACACCGATGGAACTCCAATTTGGTGGAGATGTCCTTTCACTATGCAGCTAGCTTCACACATTTTTGATTATTCTTGTGTAAGGTAAAGGGAAAGAATCCCTGTGTATTGGTTTTTTTTTTTTATTTGTTTACTTATTGTTACTGTTCTTTTTTTCTTTTTTCTTTCTTTTTCTTTGGCTTTCGCGGTGGAAGAGAGGCCAAAGGAAAAGAAAGAAAAATAAAATAAAATCAAATACTTACCATGGACAAGATGACTCAAAAAACTCTTTTCTCTCTCTCTCTCTCTCTCTCTCTCTCT